ACCACGTGACTACATCACCTACTGTTAGGCTCGGGGACTAGCTGTGGGGGTATGGCCCCCGGTATCCTCAAGACAAGACATGGGCCGCACCATTAGAGGTGGCCCGGCCCACAAGATCAAGGCATGCACGGCGCTGCTCGGCGTGCACCACAAGACATTGTATAGTACCAAATAGGATACTTTCCTTGTAACCCTACCTGCTCCAGAGTATATAAGGAGAGGTAGTGGTCCCCTAGCGGACAAGATACATAGAGATCTCCACAGATCTATCTACTACATCTCAATACAATACACCAAAGACACAGGACGTAGGGTATTACGTCGATCAGACTGCCCGAACCTGTCTAAATCGCTGTCTCTGCGCCTTGTGTCACCATCCGGTTCCTGATTACGCGCATCCCCACCGACAAATCTACCATCGTGGGATACCCCTCGGTGGACTGCCGAGCATCTTTTGTCGACACCGCCTCTTCCCCTGAGGCGTGGCTGGCGGCGATGTACTGGAGTTCCTTGGTGGTCTGTGGGCCCTTGCGTCCCAGTTTATGGACCAAAGACTCGCAGGTCGTCCCGGATAGGAAGGCTCCTATTACGTCGGCGTCGGCGACGTTAGGGAGCTCGTTGCACTGCCAGGAGAAGCACCAAATGTACCCGCAGAGGGTTTCATCGGCCTTCTGGCGGCAGTTCTTGAGGTCCCATGGGTTCCCAGGGCGCTTGTACGTGCCCTGGAAGTTTCCCACAAAGGTTTCCCTCAGATCCGCCCAACTCTGAATGGCGTTGGACGGTAGGTGCTCCAACCATGCTCGTGTCGAATCCGCCAAGAATAGTGGGAGATTGCGAATAATGAAATCGTCATCATTCACGCCACCGGCTTGACAGGCAAGCCGATAGTCTTCGAGCCAAAGCCCGAGGTTTGTTTCCCTAGAATATTTAGGTTAGGGATGTTGGTAGGCGGTCGGTACCTTGATGGGAAAGCAGCGTTGAGGATGTGCCGGCCGAAGCCTGAGGGCCCGGTAGGTCGGGGCTTGGGCTCCGGTCCTCGCTGCTGTCGTAGCGTCCGCCGCGCCGAGGGTGGTAGCCGCGTCCGGCTCCTTCTCTTGAGTCATTGTAGGCGCATCTGTGGGCGTCGATGGTGCTGCGTGCGTCGCGGTTGTGGCCGAGACGTTGATGCACCGGAACAATGGTGTGCTGCCTGCCGCCCAGTGGTGTCTGCTGAACTGATGCGTCCCTTGTAGGGCGCACCGAGGGCGTGCGCTGGCTGGTGTTGAGCTCGCGTCGCCGAGACAACGAGCTTTCAGCCTGTTGTGCCACCGCACGCTCGAGCAACGTGCGAATTTCCCGGCGTGCTCGGCGATCCTCGGACGTCGCGGCCTCTGGAAGGCCGTGAAATAAGGCCGTCGTAGCGGTGATGTTCTGGCTTGCCCGAGCGAAGTGAGGGAGGGTCCCATCGTCGGTGATGATCCTTTGGTGTACGTTACGGGCGGTGGCGCGTGCGTGCCCACCGTCTCCGTGATGCTTGATTTCCTCATCCATCTTCCGGTACTCCCGAACAAGCTGTTGTCCAGCGTCGTCGATCTCCAGCTTCCGTGCTCTCAGCTGCTCCATCCTTACGTGAGATGGGGCCGTCGCCTCCCCTCCAGTCCTGGCGTCAGGGTTGGCAGTCGAGGTAGCCTCCCCCTCGAAGACGCTTTCGACGTGCCCCTCGGAGGTTTCCGCCATGAAGCATTTCTGGGAAGGGTGATGGCTCCCCATGCTAGAGTCAGAGCGAGAGGATGACTCTGGCTCCTCGGTGAGGAGTTTGTGGAGGGACTCCGTGTCGTGTTCAATTACCCCCACGAACTCGTTGTCCGCCGGCGGTTGAACCATGCGTAGTGCCACGAGGTGGCAAGCGGTCGCCGCGGTGTTGCGGAGACCGAACAGAAACGCTGTTGGGGCGCTCCGCACGTGGTGCTCTGAAGAGAGGTGGCCCTCTCTGGAAGGTCGTGCCACGTTGTCATCGTTGGAAAGGGCAAGGCAACGCTGGTTCTCTCTGGACTGCTGGGGTCCAAGGGAGACGCCGAGCCGGCGCCCAAGCCTCTTGTGGTCGAGGACGATGGAGGGGAGAGATTGGGTGGCGGTGTGTGCCCGTACCAACTCTGCCCCCACCGTAATGACAAAATCTAGGCTCTCGAAGCGCACGTGTGCGCCTGGGACCCAGCTGACGTTGTGGTTAGCCATCCGTGGCCTGGTTTTGAACGCGCAAAGGCCCCTACCTGGCGCGCCAACTATCAATGTTTCGAACAAACACCGGTGAGTAAATTTATAATTGATGCGCGTTAGGCCCGGATGGTGTGCTAAAGGACACAAGGTTTATACTGGTTCGGGCCGAATGTCCCTACGTCCAGTCTACAACTGCTCGTGTTATTAGCACCAAATATGGTTCGTAGTAGGGGGTACAAACGGTCGAGAGAGGGACTGGTCCCAGGTCTCTGATGGAAAGGGTCGAAAGGACGCCAAGAGCTTAGTGTCTGCTTGGCCGTGCGTATGTGGGTATGCTGTTGAAATGTGTCGATCAAGCTTTCTGCCCTTTTTTCCCTCTCTTAGCGGGGTGCCCTGCCCCTCCTTTTATAGACCAAGGGGAGCGGGGCTTATATGTCGGAGGAAGAAAAAAAACCGGAGACCGAGAAGCCCCTCCGAAGGCGCCGGGTCTTCTTCTTCTTCTTCTGGGCCGGCCCCCTGACACAGCAGGACGATGTCAGAGGGGGCACGTTTGCCGGGTATGCGTGCGTTGATGATGCCATGCTCTGCAAGTGGTCACGTCCCGTCCCACCTCTGCGGGCGGCGTGTCGGCCAGGGGTGTCGATCTGCGACCATATGGGAAGCGGCCCGCGTGGTGACCGCCCGTTCCCCACTGTAGAGGGCAGGAGTTCCCCTTTGGAGCATAGCACTGCGTTTGACCCATATGTCATGTCGTACCCTGTGCTCATTTTTATGGAGGGTCGTGACGTACCTCGTCGGTCGTGGTGGAGCCTGCCCTCGGCCGTCCGGTGAGACGAAGCCTAGCCCCCAGAGGTGGGGCGAGATGGAGTTTAGACCTCGGACATCGGGCGAGGCAGAGCCAGCCCGCAGCCGTCGGGCGAGGCGGAGCCCGCCCTCGGGCGTCGGGCGAGACGGAGCCTAGCCCTCAGCCGTCGGGCGAGGCAGAGCCCGCCCCTAGGGGTCGGGCGAGACGGAGCCTAGCCTTCGAGGGTCGGGCGAGGCGGAACCTGTTCCTCGAGGGTCGGGCGAGGCGGAACCGATCTTCTACCATCCGGACAAGAGGTACAGTAGTGTTGTTTGATTGGAAGTGCCGACGTCCAGCATTCGCTAGTTCCACCTCGTAGGGTACCCCGGTATTAGGTTCCCGACACTTAGAAGTCTAGTTAACTTGTTCCAAACAATTATCAAAGTGTTGGAATTTATGGAAAATGGGGACAAGGATGGAAAGGCAAGGGGCGTTCTTGTGTACTTCCAGTCTTTTGAAATTGTCTTTTATTTGCATCTCATGTTGAACATTTTGACTATCACAAATGTCTTGTCAAATGCATTGCAACGGAAACATCAAGATATTGTGAATGCTGTTAATTGTGTGATGTCTACTAGAAGCCATTTGGATAAGGTTAGAAGAGATGGATGGGAGCAAACAATTGGAGAAGTGTATGCATTTTGTGATGAACATGATATTTCCAAGCTAGAAATGGATGAGCCTTACATTGATCCAACTAGGCCAAGAAAAAAATCTAGAATTACCAACATGCATCATTGTCAAGTTGATTGTTTTAATGAAGCCTTTGATTGGTTGCTATAAGAGCTTGATAGTCACTTCAATGAGACTACCTCTCAATTGCTAGTATGTTCAGCTGCATTCAACCCAAGAGATTCATTTCATGATTTCAACGTGGATAGTTTGATAAGCCTAGCTAAGCTATACCCAAGTGACTTTGATTCCATGCAATTGAGAGATCTGAATTCTGAACTTCTCCATTATATTGGGGATGTGCGACAGGATGATAGATTTCTTAACATAAAAACCATTGCTGAGCTTTCCAAAAAAATGGTGGACACAAAGAAACATCTTACCTATCCTTTGGTTTATCGGCTATTGAAGCTAGTACTTGTATTGCCCGTCGCCACAGCTACCGTTGAGAGGGTCTTTTCAGGCATGAAGATAGTGGAAATATCTTTGCGCAACGGTATGGGTGATCAGTACATGAGTAATAGTCTCATTTGTTATGTGAAGAAAGAGAAAATGTTGAAAGTTACCAATGCTGCTGTAGTGGACCGTTTCAAGAAAATGAGAGATCGCAAATACTAGAGGTGATGCATTACTTTCATATTTTATCGTTTTTCAGTTCTGAATCGGTCTTGTCTCGACATATTTAGTCATCTAACTAGTACTTCTGTCATAGGTAATTGACTCATCGAGGACTTCGGCTTAATATGTATTTTGTCATGCAGACCATGTAAATTTTGGGTGTTTATCTAAATTAACTATTAATATATCGGATCCAGCATTTTAGTAAAAAATTCTGTAATTCTAGTATTTATGTACCGTCACTGTACTGAGATAATCATTATGCTTACGAAGTGTGCACTCAGGTCCTTGATGCTCTAGCTTCGCCCCTGTCTAGAAAGAGCGTGTCGAGACTCCAAGCCGTGGTCGTTGGTGCCGGCCGGCGGCGTCCGCACGGCCCACAGGAACCGCTGCCCAGACCTATCAAGGCCAGCGGCGATGTCCCTTAGCTGCTCAGCCGAGTGCGCGCATCTGCTTCCGAAGCAGAGGAACACGACGCTCTTCTCCGGCTGCGCGTCGAGCCATGCGAGGCACTCGTGCCGCGCTCCCTTGGTCCGCTGCTGCGGTGCTCGTGCCGTCGCCGCCGATGACCAGCGTCCCCACGCAGTAGACCGGGGGCAGCACGCGCCCCGGGACTCACCGGGGATCCCTCAGCGCCTGCACGGCCGGGCTCTCCAGCGACTCGAACATGTTAACGAGGACGCCGCTGGCGCTGGCGTCCGTGCTGCGCGTCCAGACGTCCACCATGGTCCTGCACAGCTCGTCGTCGTCCGGGTGCCCCAGCAGCTCCCTGACGAGATGGGACGCCGAGGAACCGGAGCGGCGTGTCCCCGAGCTCCTTGAGGCCCGCTCGCCTGCCGGAGAGCAACGCCGGCAGCTGAGCCACGACGGCCAGGGTGGCGGCGGCCGAGGCGAAGAGCGTGTACACGGGGACGCCCAGCTTGGCGCCGACGTCGACCGCGTCGGTGGAGAACATGCCGACCACCAGGGAGTGCACGCGCTGGCGCGGGACGGTGGAGCGGAGGAACCTCTCCAGCTCGTCGTTGTACCGTCGCAGCACCTGCAGCGTGAGGAGGAAATGGTGCTTGCCGGAGACGGCGAGGTCGGCGTACGGGACCGGTGGGAGGACGTGGAAGGTGATGGCGGGGTTGGAGGCAGCGACGCGGCCGACATCGACGATGCGGAAGTCGGGCGAGCTGGCGGCTGGCTCCGCGATCACCATGGTCACGTCGTAGCCGTGCCTGAGGAAGACCTTGGCGAGCTGCACCATGGGGACGATGTGGCCGACGCCAGGGCTCGGGTACAGGATGACGGTCTGCTGCTCCATTGTCAGCGGCACAAAGAGGAATCTTGTGGTGGCGCGGTGGTGCGCAAGTGGCTCTGGAGTGCAACTCGATATAAGAGCTGCTAGCCTGCTACGCTCTGCCTCGCCGGAGATGCAACTGATCAACGTGTTTCAATTATTGCCGTGGCGGAATGAAACAAAGGGATGAGTGCGTTTATGGCTGTCAGATAGCGTCATGGTAGGATGCTTCCTATTCCCATCATGCCGAGCATCTCCGATAGACCAAAAAACAGTTGATAAATCAATGAGTTTTTCAAGTGGTTAAAAAAATTTAGAGGTACATTTCTTCTAGTTTTCAAAATCTATTTTGGAAGAAAATTTTGCTCAGGAATCTAACTTTTCTATCTCTTATAACGTTTGTATTGGAAATCATGTCATACCCATTATTCTTCCCTAAATTCTTCCACCTTCAAATTGACCGATCTATACGTGGGTGTATATTTCCACGTAATTGAGTTTTCTTAAGTGCGGAAAGAATGTCAGTTGAGAGTTTCTGGAGAACAATTCTTTTCAATCTTGCTAAGAAAATCACGATTGGAAGTGGATTTTGGAATTCTTGAAGATGCTCTGGACACTCGAAGAAGCCAAAACCTACGCCCGCAGCTAGCAGTACAGCACACGACACACGACACGACACCCGGTTTTATTAAATTCATTTAATTATTTATTAATATAATCGTGTGCTGAGGCTGCACCTGCTAATGCAATTTGGGCTGAAATTCTGAAAATGCTGTAGGAGAAGCCTGCCACAACGCCAACCGTTTTAAATTATAAGTTGTTCTATCTTTTTTAGTTACATAACTTTTATCATTCATCAAGATATATGTTATATCTAGATACCTAGATTTATATGTATTAGAAAAACTAAAATGACATAACTTTTTTTTTGACAACATAAATGACTTATAATTTGAAATGAAGGGAACGTGTACCAAGGAAGTGTATATGTCATGTTATCAAAGAATCTACTCAAGCGAGATTCATTAGTACATGTTTTTAGCTAATATATAAGTCATATAAATCTCGATAATCAAAATAGCTACTGCATGTTCTTCTTTTGCTCCAGGCATTCATGCCTAAGTATTTTGGAGGACATAATAACACAAAAAAGGCATATATATTTAAGCAGCCTGTCATAAGAGATTTGATACCTTACCTTTGTTTTCATTATTCTGTCATGTACAACTATTGCGGTTGGGGCTGGTGCTGGTTTTTTGTGAGAGGTAAACACTGTTGGCTGGCTGGTTTGGGCTGGCTGAAACCAACAAGCGAACAGGCTAATTATCATCAATTCCACACCGTAACCCAGTTCCGCAAAGGTCAGAAGAACAATCAAATTATGGTTTGAAAAATTCCGATCAACCTTATGCCTAGATACTACGATGATTGTTCCGGGAACACATCGCTGATCTGACCAGTCACCGGTGTCGCACGATACCCTTGCAGACAAATGCTTGTCAGACAACTAATCCTTCTACCAAGCATTCAAAATCAAGGGTCTAGATTGGTGCCTGACGCAAGAATGATGGGCAAGCAACCCTGCAGCACCCGTAGAATTTTTCCGGAAAAGCTACACGTGAAAAAAAAAGCCAGTGGAGCAGTGATGCTGAAAACCAGACGTGGAAACGGGACTGTCTCGGTGGAACCAACACTTGCCGACATCAACTAGAAAATCTCGCTTTGCAGAATTAAAGCACTTTCCCCTCCCCCTCCCCTAGGCCCGCGCGACCCGTTCCAAAAGGCACAACGGATTCTGCAGCAGAGCCACACATATATGACGGAAAATTCGGTCCAAAGCTCGCCGGCAATGGACAGTGGGATACTCCTATTTCATCTGGACAGCTGGATTCACCTGATCAAAATGGAAGCAATAGGCATCCCCAACTGGTACCGGCCGGCTCCAGCCTATGGTCTTATTTTCTATGTAATCGAATGTTTATATACATGCACGAAGTATTAAATATAAACTAAAAAATAATTAATTGTACAGTTTGCGACTAATTTACGAGACGAATCTTTTAAACCTAATTAGTCCATGATTTAACAATATGTAGCTACAGTACACACATGTGTTAATGTCAGATTAATTAGGCTTAATAAATTCGTCTCGCGGATTAATGACGGTGTAATTTATTTTTTTACTAGTATCCAACCACCACATACAACACCCTCACGTGACACGTCAAAACTTTACGCCATGTATTTAAACAAACCACTCACCGATGGCGAGTGCAGCATAACAGAGCAAGTCGAACGAGCGAGCTCCCGAGGTGCAGTACATACACCACTCCAAACGTAACTCTCCGATTCCGCCAATGGCAACCAACAAGGCGTCCATTCTCCTCCTCGCCGTTGCAGTGGCCACCGCGGCGTGCTCGACCGCCTCCGCGCAGACCAGGCTTGGCAAGCTCGTCGTCACCGGCGTCGTGCCGTGCAACACCGGCACGCTGATCGACGCCGCCACTTCTCCGGCATTCCCAGGTGCGTGCATGCGACAACTTCTCCGGCATACTTACCTCTGCACGTGCAACTGATGTATATTTAATAACGATACTACTCAACGTTTACAACATCACGTCACGTAACGACATGCAGCCTGTTCGGTTGGGGTTGAAACGATCGTATACGATCATGGATTATTACTGCTGACTGGTTTGATATGAAAGAAAAATACTATTTTAACTGGAAATTTACGATCGTTTACGACCATGCGAGCAGGCCACATGTTCGTGCCTGCAAACCCCTCTGCGATGCCTGCAGACGCCAGCGTGGAGCTGCGGTGCGGCGGCAACGTGGTGGCGGGCGGGACGACGAGCCGCAACGGGTCGTTCGCGATCGAGGCGGACCTGACCAACGCGCTGGCGGCGCTCGTGGGCTCCTGCCAGCTGGTGGTCGACACGTCGCTGGCCAAGTGCAACGCGAGCCTGCCGGCGGCGGGGGCACTGGCCTCCTACCTGCAGGGCTCACTCGCCGGGATACCAGTGCCGGCCCTAAGGGGGGGCAGGAGGTGCGATAGTCGGGGGCCCAGGCGGGCAGCAGGCCAGCAGGCATGTTTAATGCAGCAACCAGGCAGCCAGCAGGCCAGCAGCGCCAGCGCCGCACAGCAGGCCAGCAGGCAGTCAGCGCCGCACAGCAGGCCAGCCGCGCCGCACAGCCCGTCGCCCGTCGGCCTCTCAGTGCGCTGGCCGCTGGTGTTTCTTTTCAGAGCCCGTGGCCTTTTGTCTTCCTTTTCAGCAATCAGGAGTTCAGGACTCAGGAGCCGAGCCGCCGCCAACGCCGCACCCGCACAGCGTGACAGCGAATCAGCGATCGGCCGATCGCTACTTCGTACAGACTTCCGCGAACGGCGAGACGCAGCGCCGATCGAGCGATCACCACGCAACAAGGGCACAAGGCAGCCGAGGGCCCGAGGCAGGGCTCGACGAGGACGACGAGTCGACGACATCTGAAGATTTATCTTGGTTATTGCCTTATGCCCTTTTTGTGATTTGTGAATCTTAGTTTTGAATCAGTTCATATCTAAATTGTCTAGGTCCTAGGGTTTTTTTTCTTGTTCAAATTTTGTCTAGTACTCTGTACTCATATAGTCATGTTTTTTTTCTTATAATTTAGGTCAGGTGTAAGAATTTTAGAATGTTACCTAAGAAACATTTATCAGGGGCTGCGAAAAGAAAACGGAAAAGACAAGAAGAACAGTTTGTTCAGTCACAACAAGGTGCTTTAGATAAGTTTTTTTAGCTTCAAGTAGTGTTGTGCGTGATGACAACCCTATAGATACACCTGATAATCAAGAAGAAGAGCAACAAGTTAATGATAATTTAAGTGAACAAGTTGATGCTATAGAGAATGAAAATTTACAGCTTTTCTCTCAACCTGAAAATTCAATTGATGATGTGCAACCTTCTATTCATGATGTCTTTGATCCCAGAATTTGGGAGAATCTTGATAATAAGGGTAGAGATATTTTGATTGAAAAAAGACCAGTGAGAGAATTGAATCTTGAGTTCCCTGTAGATGCTCACAATAGACATTTTTCATATGCTTACTACTCCAGAAAGTTAAACAATGGTGAGGTGGTTGATAGAAAATGGTTGGTTTACTCTAAACATGTGGACAAAGTTTTTTGTTTTTGCTGTAAATTGTTCAAATCAGATCAGAACAAAAGTTTGATAGCACACGATGGATTGAGGGTCTGGAAACATCTTAGTTTAAGAATCAAGGAACATGAGAATAGTGTTGAGCATATAAGAAACATGAATACTTGGAACGAACTTAGGCTGAGGTTGAGCAAAAATAAAACAATTGATGATGATTTGCAACGAGAAATTGCAAAGGAGAGAGAGCGTTGGAGACAAGTTTTAGTAAGAATCGTTTCTACTGTCAAGTTTTTTGTTAAACATAATTTGGCTTTCTGAGGGCAAAATAAGAAACTATATCAAGCTAACAATGATAACTTTCTGGGCACAGTTGAAATGATGGGTGAATTTGATCATGTGATGCAAGACCATATTAGGCGGATTCAAAATAGTGAGATTCATCATCATTACCTTGGCATAAAATTCAGAATGAGATGATTTATCTTCTTGCAGATTGTGTAAAACAAACTATATTAAAGATCATTAAGGATGCCAAGTATTTTTCTGTGATTTTAGATTGTACTCCAGATGTGAGCCATGAAGAACAAATGACTCTAATTATTAGGTGTGTGAATATATCGGGGAATGTTCCAAGGGTAGAGGAGTTCTTCCTAGAGTTTTTGAAGGTTGATGACACATTAGGATTGGATCTTTTTAATGAATTAAAGAGTGCATTGGACTCTCTTGGTTTAAATATTGATGATGTGAGGGGTCAAGGGTATGATAATGGTTCAAATATGAAAGGGAAACACCAAGGTGTTCAGACGCGCTTGCTTAAAATTAATCCAAGAGCATTATATATGCTGTGTGCATGTCATAGTCTAAATCTTATTCTTTGTGATATGG